AGTAAAAGAAATTGTGAATCTATGGAATATAATCTGTGTTGAGATGAGAATATGATATATATGACACTGTGATATGTAATGCTATGATGTTTTCTTTAATCGTGATAAGATGTGTGTGATGAATATGTGTTATGTATGAGTGGTAGGGTAGAGACTTACCCTTACACAACATTTTTCAGGAAACCAAGATGAATAGTACCAGGCTCACAGTGCATGGATGGATGAGAACTGCTATAGGACTTAGTTATTTTGAGTTATGTAATGAATATTTTCAGTTCTATAGCATTCTTTTGAAACAGTTGTAAAACTACTATTTCTGTTTGTTGCTGATAAAAACTTTAGAATCTTTGTTTTTCTAAAGTACTTATGAATTAATGAAATTTTACTTAATGAAACTTATATCATTTAAGTGTTTCTTTCTCATTAGAGAGATTTTGAAGAAAAATTTATTTTACTATTTAAATTTTTATGAAAATTTATCATATATTGAGGAAAGAAATATAAGGCGTTACATAAGACTCCAAAATAATCAAGAGAGAAAGTAGGTTCAGTTTGACCTAATCCCCATGTCTTACACAGAGTTATTACCTCGCCTATTCTAAAGCTCACTAGTTGTACCACGTCCAATGAAACCTATAGAGCCACCCTATCCAAGAGGATATGATTCAAATGCCAAGTGTAAGTATCATGCTGGTGCCATTGGTCATTCGATAGAAAATTATCGGACACTAAAGTTCAAAGTGCAAGACTTAATCAATGCCAAATGGTTAAATTTCAAGGAGAATACTCCTAACATTGGGAATAATCCTCTGCCCGGACATGGAGGATCATCAGTAAATGTCATCAAAGAAGAGTCTGCCCACATTTTAAATGGAAAAATTAAAGAGGTTACAACTCCTCTAAAAGTTATCTTCGCTGAATTGTGCAAGGCTAATATGATTGAGGGTTTTTTTATGAAGGAAGTATGTGTGATATGCAGCCTGATGCAAACCACTCCATTGAGAATTGTCAGGAATTCAAGCGTGCCCTGTAAACCCTGATGGACAAACATTTGGTTCAAATTGGGTGTCCTAAAAAAAAATGAAGTTTTTACTGTTGATAGACAACCTCCGGCCTTCCCAAAACCCTTAGTCATTCATTATACCAAAAATGTGAATACTCCAACCCTTAATGGAACAAAACCCGTCACTATACAAATATCGGCTCCGTTTCCTTACAAGGATAACAAAGCAGTGCCCTGGAGGTATGATGCAAGAGTGTTTGTTGATAATCAGAAAGGAGACCAGACAGAAGGTGTCAGCTCTAATACCCCTGCCGTCTCAAATATAGCTGGTGTTGGAGGGATGACCCAAAGTAGTAGTATATATACCCCTGAAGAGTTGAGAAAAGAGCGGACAAGAGAAATGGAGAGATCTTCAAAGGGGAAGGCCAAATTGGGAGACTCTAAAGATGTGGATAAAGGGAAAATACTTGAAACAAAAAAGGCGGTATCTGACAAAGAAGCTTATGAATTTTTGAAGTTTATTAAGCAAAGTGAATATCAAGTTATGGAGCAATTAAACTGCACTCCAGCTAAGATATCTCTTCTATCCCTGCTGTTGAATTTTGAGTCACACAGGAAGATATTAATAAGGGTGCTAAATGAAGCATATGTCAATCATGACATAACTATTGAGAAGTTTGGGGGCATTGTCAGTAATATTGCTTCAAATAACTATCTACATTGTACCAAAAGTTAAAATTTATTGTTGGCAATAAGCAAGTAATTGTCCTTGGTGAAGATGATATGTTGGTGAGCAAGCCTTTGTCCACTCCTTATATCGAAGTTGCTGAGGAAGCTCTAGAGACTGCTTTTCAGGTTTTAGAGATTGCAAACGCTACTTATGTTGGGGAAGGAGCTCCAATCATGAAGCCTGAGTTATCTAATACATCTTTAATGACTGCTAAAGTCATGCTTGATGGAGGTTGTCAGTACAGATATGGGTTAGGGCGAATCATGTCAAAACTAGCAAAATGGCCACAGCTCCATGAGAACAAGGATAGGTTTGGGCTAGGGTACACACCCACTAAAGTTGATAAGAAAAGAGTTATGGAGGAGAAGAAAGAAAGAAGACTAGCTAGGTTGGAAGGTAGAGAGCCAAACAGTAAAGGGGTCCTTACCTGTGATCTTCTAAAAAGCTTCTACAGTATTGGGTTTGAATTTCAAGATTCAGTGGCTGCTGCTGATGAAGAGGAACCTTAAGTGTCAGGCTTGTGATTTATTATTGAGTAATCTATAATATTTAATAATTATTAAATGTTAATTGAAGGATTATTTGATATTGGAATAGATTTAGATGGAGTTTGAAATTTTTTTATTAAAAAAAAAAGTGAACAGTACCGATAAACAGTCTCATGAACAGTAAAAACTGCATATGTACAGTGACCGCTGACGTCACATACGCGTACAGTGCGTGTATAGTATGCGTGCACAGTATTTCTGGCGTGAATAGTATCTTGAACAGTGTTTCCGGCGATGAACAGTAATTCTGGCGGTGAACAGTAAATTTCAAAAAATTTTCTATAAAAAGGGGGCTTCACACGAAATTTTCATTTCTTTAGTCATATACAAGGTTCTCAAAGGTTCCAAAGCCATATACTACCATTTTCTCTCATATTAAACCCTCATAAACTTAGATTTCTCTCCAGATCTGTGATTTTGGATCCGTTCTAAGGGATTTGAAATAAGTTTCTTTAAGTTTAAAGTTAGATTTACCGTTCGTTTATCTTCTTCTTCTCTTTCTTATAGATAGTTGATGATATCTTAGGAGAAACTCCGTTCTAAAGCCGAATCTTTGGTGAATCTTGCATTAAAACAAGTAATATTCGGTAGATCTGGTGTGAATCATCATTCTGAGGTAAGGGTAGCTTATTTTAACCTATGAACTACGTTTTGAACAGTTTAATATACTATTTCAAGATGTTTTGATATGATTTTGTTAGATCTATTGAATAAAAGCTATTTTCTAAGCTGTAACTGCTGTTAATTGATTTAAAATGCTGAGATTTTGGCTGATCTATTATAAACTTACCTTAGCTAAGCTGTTAAAATAATTTTAGCAGTGTGCATCATGCTGAGATATATGTTTTGCATTATTATAGAGCCGAGTTACATGTTTAGGTGGGTAGATGTGAAACGGTAAGTTCATGTTGAGCTGCTGTGCTGTCTGGATCCAGATACCGAAATGGGTTGCTCCCGGACCAGCTCGGTTCCTTCTGGATTTAGGCTGTGAAACCAGTTGAAAACCGTTTTCATGTTGTGCATTAGATGGGCTGGTAATGCATGGGGCTGTTGCTGTGAGTAATGTTTTGTTATATATACGATTTTATTCTATTTTTTGTTAGCTCACCCTTGCATTTCTTTTTATGTCGTTGTATGCGTGTGTTCTGCGATGATCGTACGATGGTATGTGAGCAGATGTAGCAGGTGTTACATATACTTCACAGGCTGAGGGGCCAGTGGAGAAATGTTAGAAGATGGAGTAGAGCAATTATGCATTAAAGTCCTTTTTCCTTATATTTTGAGACCTCATGTAGAGGGAGCTATGTAGTATAATTTTGGGTATTTTGAATATTATGAACTAAATGTAATATTATGTTGTTTTGTTGGATATTTGTTGTAAGAAACTTTGTTTTATTTTGAATGAGAAAAGAATTTCATACTTATGTTCTCTATTATTTATTTATCCTAAATAAGTATGTGATGAAGAAACAATGTTTTCAGTTCCTTATAAAAGGGGTTGTGACATGAAGAAGAGGTTGTCAACCTATTCCGCATTTGTCCGCCAAACACTAGAACCGGCAATTGAAAAATCATCAAGCTTCCTCGTGGTCTTTAATGCTTATTCAAAGTAATTATATGAAGCTAATCCTATTGCTCTGTCTAATGCTTTAAGATTTTTTTTTGAAAAGACTGACAAATGGCTTCTTTATTGTAATTTATATTCACAAATATGTTTTGTAAACTGGGACATATATTTCCTTTTAGTATGTTATGAATGAAATGCACCTTGAACTTTTAGTAATCTTTCTAGTCTTCCTTTCTTGTTTGAGTCTTGTTGTTTATTTTCTCTCCTTTTGTCTCAACTCCTAAATTTTGCAAATTTAAAAGTGACATGCTTGAAAGTAACAATGCTAGTATTTTATCAAATAACTTTGATTGCCCAATTAATCAAACTGACGAAGATGATGACAATGGTTTTGAATTATCCTCGAAAATGTTAAGATTAGTCAAACAAGAAGCGAAAGACATCCAACCTCATGAAGAGCCAACTGAGATAATTAATATGGGGACCGAAGAAGATAAGAAAGAGGTCAAGATTGGTATCCTCATGAAGGAGCAAGAACGCAACAAGTTGATTAAACTTTTGCATAATTTTAATGATGTTTTTGCATGGTCATATCAAGATATGCCAGGTCTTGACACTGGCATAGTTGAGCATCGACTACCATTGAAATTCATTGATTATGAAGGAAGATACTCATTGCTGGAGCATACCTATTATGCCTTGGCTTGGGCCACTCATAGACTAAGGCAATATATGTTGAGTCACATGACTTGGTTGGTGTTGAAAATAGATCGAATCAAGTACATCTTTGAAAAACCAGTCCTTACTGGAAGGATTGCTTGATGGCAAATTCTCTTATCAGAATATGATATTGTGTATGTTACCCAGAAGGCAACCAAAGGCAATGCGCTTGCTGGTTTTCTAGCTCAACAACCAATAAATGATTACCAATCAATGCAATGTGAATTTCTAGATGAAAGTTTAATGGCGTTGTTTGAAGAGAAGGAATCTTCAAGAAAAGAAGAATGAGTCATGATGTTTGATGCTGCTTCTAATGCGCTTGGACACGGGATTGGAGCTATATTGATTTCTCTAGAGAAGTGATATATCCCAATCATAGGTAGATTATCATTTGATTGTACAAATAATATAGCTGAATATAAGACCTGCACTATGGGAATTCAAGCAGCTGTGGAGTCAAAAATCAAAGTTCTCAAAGTGTATGGTGACTCAGCCTTGGTCATCCATCAGTTGAAAGAGGAATGGGAGACTCGGGATGCAAAGTTGATTCCTTACCAAGCCTACGTCAAAGAATTGATAGAGTATTTTGATGAGATTACCTTCCAACATATTCCTCATGAGGATAATCAACTGACTGATGCTTTAGCCACTTTGTCGTCAATATTTGTAATAAGTCAAAATGTGGATATGCCACTTATAAAAATGCGACAACATGATCGGCTAGCTTACTGTCAGATGATCGAAGGGGAATCCGATGGTAAACTATGGTACCATGACATTAAGAGTTATCTGAAAAACCAAGAGTACCCATTGAATGCTACTAATAATGACAAAAGAACACTAAGGAGATTAGCAATGAATTTCTTCTTAAATGGAGAATTGCTCTAGGGGGAGATCGGAGAAGGAAGAGGGAGGAACGGATTTGTGATCGGCAAGAGAGAAAAATTCTTACAGAACAAAAAAGAGAAAGAAGGAAGGGTCTTTTTCCCAATTTTATTTCTCATCTTCTCCCCTATCATATATTTCTTCATCTCTATATCCTCCAAATCGGTTTGTGAAAAAGTCCGGGTACCTTCTGCAGTACTTTCCTTTTCATTTATGCAATGTAGTTTTGTCTTTTTATAATAATATAAAACAACATGCTGGATAGCTTTGCAAAGAACTGGAACTTTCTGCCGTGCTTTGCTTTTCATTTAGGCATTATTTTGTTTTTATAATAATATAAAAACTGTAAGATAGCTTTACACTAGGCGCTGTGATGATGCATCTCATAATTGTCATAATCTTATATATTGATTGCAATCTAGATATATGAATATTTGCCATCTATATATATATATGCACACATTGTCGTAGCACTGTTATATAAAACTTTTATCATTCATATATGCATATACGATATTTTTTTACCTTTTATTTATTTATTTTTTCTCTCTTTCTTTTCTTTCTTTCTTTCATCTGTTGTTGATTTGTCACTTTTATGATTCACAAATAGTAAGTAAAAATTAACTAAATCAGATAAAGAGGAATAATGTTAAAAAAAATTTTTTGTCTAATATTTTTATTATTTCTATATTTGTTTGATCATGCACCTCTTATTTATCTATTAATGTTCTTATTGTTGCCATTGTTTTACGTATATACAAAGTGAACATAATGTAAATTTCTATATCAATTCTTTATTTGATGATTGGTAAATTACATTTATTTAAAAATTACATCACAAATAAATAAAGTGTTTGCATTAACTTATAACATGACGTATAGCTCCTTTGTCGTCATGCATTATAAATTAGTAAGACCTGTGTGTACCCATGTTACCATTGATCTTTTACAATATAAATTTATCATATTTTAACTCTAATTAACTAGGTAATTATTTTATTAATTAATCTAACATATTTCTCCATTTAAATATTATTATTTTTATTAAATTAAAACTACTTTATTAATGCAGCAGTTAATAACCTATTGTGTAACTACTTTACCTTTATGTGTTATCGATTGTCAAGACATATGTATACTTATGTTATCTTATGTCGTATACACTGTTAATATACTTTAAAAAAATCTGACTTCTAAAATTAATTTATTTAATTTTATATATGTCTAAAAATCTTCTTCATTCATATTATCAAATAATACAAAATTTATTCTAAAAATAAAACAATGTGCATTTCTGTTTAATTATATAATTTGTCAATCAATTGAAGTATATACTTTTTTATTTATCTCATTTTATTCATTAATCAAAATATGTCATATTTTTATGAAATGAAAATTGATTTATTTAATTAATGCAATGATCTATAATGTTAATGTGTAGCATCTCTACCTTTATATATTATAAATCATTGAAATGAACGTGTACCTGCGGTGCCTTTAACTTCTTGCAATATAAATTCGTTAAGTTAAATAATATTTTACTAATTATTTTACCTTTCTAAACTATATCCTTTCAAATATTTTATTTTAGTAAGTAAATGATCAATTTATTAATTAGGTTAACGATAATAATAATCTCGCTAATACAGTAATTTATGAATTAATTAATCTAAGCATATTCTTTTAAAATTTTTTTACCCTTAATCAATAAATAATTAAAAAGTTAATTTATTAACTAATCTAATTTAGCGATTTGTAACGTCATCGTATAACATCTTTATCTTTGTATATTTTAAATTGTTGAGACCTTTATATTCCAACGTTACCTTGGTTTCAGGCAATACAAACTTGTTAAAAATATATTTTAATTCTCCTCAAATAAACGTCTATCTTTACTAATCAATTTAAATATATTAAATTTTTCTTTAAATTTTTTTATTAAATAAAATTAATTTCATATTTAAAAAGTTTTAAATTAAGTTTCCAACCTTAAAAATATATTTTTACTAAATTTTAACAAAATGTTCTGCGACATAGATTTGCGATTTACATTGCCTTTAGTCAACAAATTAGTCATGAGATATTTATGTATAGCTTACGGTATCTTAAATTTTTTTAATATTAAAATTTTTTAATTAAATTATATATACTTTTTCATAAATTAAATATTTGGTCTTAATTATTATACTTTTACAATGACTTACAATATAAATATGTGATCTTCCTTCACCTTTCTTATTGTTCGTCATGGGGTAACATGTATAGCTGAGCTATCTTGTCTCCCAAAAAATCTAAACAATTTTTGTTTTATTTTTCTAAGAAAATATGGTAAATTTTAAAACAAGTTCTTTTAAAATCTTATAAATTAATAAAATAATTCTACCATTTTTTTTAGAGCTACATGACTTTGAATTCTCTATTACACCTGGAAATACATAGGTGCAGAATCATATCCGTCCAGTCAAAATAATTTTTTTAAATTTTTTTGTTTCAAAGGCAAGTATTTGCAAAATTCAAGAATTCCAGCAGACCTTAAATATTTTTTTGTTTTTGCTCTAGCATGGGTATTCTCATGGCAATACAGATATAGCAAGACAGAAAATGAAGAAAATTTTCCCATACTTCACAGATATTCCTTTGTGAAATTGTAGAATCAATTTAATGCAGATCATACAGGATCGCCTTGCCTTAAGCATGACCGTGCATAGGCTCAAAGCACCATTGTGCTTGTTGAAAGGGTTTGGGCATGCTAACTGCTGCGAAGCTCTAATCTTCCATTAATTTGCATCCATAATGCCCCCAAAATCTACTTGCGACCTCTTTATACCAAATTGCACAAGTAATATATAAATTAGTGTAAAAGCCAAATAAAAATAAAGGTCAAATATGAATATATGGGTTGTAAAAGAGGGCCTAATTACAGACTTATCAACTCGCCCATACTTATTTGTTTGCTTGTCCTCAAGCAAAGTGCTGGTTAAGAGAATAACATAATAACTTGAAACATAATATCACACAAGGAACCCGAGATAAAGGAAATAAAGAGAGCAACCAGAGTAATATCACTGTGCATAAGCAATCAAGAGGATTCTCAATTAGAATCTTATATTTTCATACTTTTCACTCAAACATCAAACTAAGGTACTCTACTTTCCTCTCTCACTAAGAGACAAAGTGAGATATCACTCAGTTATCCTAAAGAAAAGTGTATTACCATAGGTTTGACTATAAATCGACTCTCCACTAAACAAATTAAATGTAAGTAAAAATCATGAGGTCTTTTTTAGGTTATAGTGTGGCCAAGGAGTTATAATAATTGAGATGAGATAAATGAAATGAGGGGAATATACAAAGGGGTAATAAATTATAACGATTACAAACATCTCCTAAATTTACAAATGAAGCTCTTGGAGTAATTTTTATATTTTTATATATAAACAATATCTTTACTCCTCTCCCCTTTCAATCATATATAACCTATTTTTTTTTCTATTTTTCATACTTATTATATTTGTTTTTCTTTTTGCACATGAGAGATATAGAGGAGAATTTATCAAACAGTTCAACAACTCAATTGCTCCATTCATAAACTCAAGGTCATCAAAATATTTTATAAATTTATTGTAAAGGACCAAGAAAGTTGTATCTCAAACATGCTGAAGGCTAAGAATAAAAATCTTATTATGCCTCAATCACATTAAAAAGATGCAATTAAAAAGAGAAGTCTTAAGTCGGTTCCAAGTCAAGTTTTAGAGCACAAATCCTAAAGAGATAATCACACAAAACAATGAGGAAAGAAATACAATTAATTAATTAAATTAAGATAAAAATTCCCTTTAAGGCTCAAAACTCACATCTGTAGGTTAAAGTTTAATGTAGAGCATAAAAGTACGGAACTTAGTTAATTATTAGTTTCCAAATGAAAGTATAATGTCAATAATAATTACTCAACATGCTCTTCTATTTGGAAAAATTGGGTTTCATGAGGAAAAAAGTTTTAAATTATCATAAAAAAAATAGCATAAATACTTTACTCAAGAACATGCAATAACTATGATATAATTAAGAACTACTCCTCCATATTTTAAGCAAAACATTGTTCTCAACGTTTGAAAGCAATCAAATTAAAAGCATGCAAGGAGGACAATTGAATAAAAGGAAAGAGGTTCCCTGATAATTCTTAGCGCGACGGCTTCAAGTGAGGGAGCAAGATCATGCTGAAATCTTAAGCACACCCATGCTTATGATGTAAAGTTTTCTCTCACAACTGCGACTAAATGCATAACCGTGTATGGGATGAGCACGGACGTGCTTTTAGATCAGAGCTTAAAAGTGTGTGCGAGAATAATCAACTCAGTTCTTGCAATCTTTCAATATGCTTATCCTTTATTCTAAAAATAACATAACAATAGCAAAATCAAAATAAACAAAGATAAAATTTAAATAAAATAAAAGACACAGGTTGCCTCATAGGAGCTCTTGTTTAATGTCACGAGCCTGACGTTTCTGTTAAATCAAGGTGGGAAGAAGGCATGAGTCTTAGGAGTAACTTCCTTGATATGTAATTGTCTCCCCAACAGATTTGCCTCCCCAATACCTATTACATTAGAAAAACTATTGATAAGATGAGGATTAAAATAAAGAGAAGAAAATTTAAGCTCTAAATTAGGAGGCTTATTAATGGATGGTTTAAGCTTTTGTCTTTTCTTCTTCTTATATTGCTTCCTCCTTTGCCTTCTTTTTATGGTTCCATGCTTCACATAAATTGGAGGAGGAGAAGCAACATCCACAATGCTCACAAAGTGACAGGACTCTTGGCTAGAAGGGTACTTGAAAGAATTGAAAACTTGAAATACAACTTCCTCATCATCTAGCCTCAGTGTGAGCTTCCCTTCTTGTACCTCTATGATGGCCCTTGCAGTGGCTAAGAACATCTCCCTAGTATGATAGGGACATCATCATCATCCTCCATGTCAAGTACCACAAAGTCAGTAGGAAATATAAATTCCCTAACTTTTATAAGCACATTCTCCATTATGCCATTGGGGTATGTGATCGACCTATCTGCCAGCTGAAGTGACATGAAGGTCCACTTAGGTTTATGCATTCTAAGCTTCCTAAAAATAGAATAAGGCATAAGATTAATATTTGCTCCTAAATCACATAAAGCCTTATCAATATGAGTTTTTCCAATTATGAAAGGAATAGTAAAACTCCCTGTGTCCTTAAGCTTAAGTGGAAGCTTTTTAAGAACTATAGCTGAGCACTCTTAGGTGAGTGTCACAGTTTCATGTGCTCTCAACTTCCTCTTATTGGTCAAAATCTCCTTTAAAAATTTAGCATATTTCGACATTTTAGAGATAGCATCAATGAAAGGCAAATGGATGTGCACTTTGCCTAATAAGTCTAAGAACTTGTGGAACTCTTCATCACAAGGAGGGTGACCTTGTAGCCACTCTAGAAAAGATATTTTAGGCTTATAAGACCTTGGTTGAACAATAGTCTCTTCCTTCTTTTCTTTTTCAGGCTCCTCGCTTGAAGCACGACCTTGGTCATAGTGATGCACAACCATGCTGTGGTCATTGTCATGGGCGTGCTTGTATAAGCACAGTCATGTTTCAATTTCAGCAGTGGCGTGCTCATCAGTAAACATGGATGTGTTTTGCGATTCTTGTAATTTCTTTCCACTTCTAAGGGTGATGGCATTGCATTGCTCCCTTGGATTAGGTTCAGGTTAAGATGGTAGTGTTCCCATCACTCTTTGACTTAGAAGCTTCGTAATTTTCTCCAATTGTGCACTCATCTTAGAAGAGTTGGCTTGTATTTCAGCTTTGACTTCTGCAAACTTATGATCAGTTCTCTCAATATGCTGGTCCAACTTAGATTCATCTCTGTCATCCTCTTATCAGAGTAATGCATATATTGCATCATTTGTTCTTGAAAGTTGGACTGAGATCTAAAGGCTTCTTTCTCTTCTGGTCTTGCTCCTTGATTTTGTATATGGGAAGGGCAATAAACACTTGAATTTTAGCTTCCAAAGCCATTCTCCTAAGAGTTAGGAGGATTACTCTGCCAACTCAAACTATGATTACCCATGAAATTTGCCTCATCTTGCTTAGATTCTGGACTTACAGAAGCTCTTACAAGTTAGTCTTGAGCCTTCATTAAAGCTTCTAGTTGCTTTGCAAGGGCTGCCATTTGGTTCATTAGTGGGTTGTTACTCTCTGCTTGGTAGACCGGGGCGATCTCTTTCTTCTTGATGTCATAAGAGTCAGCAGTGTGCCACTGAAAGTTAGAAGATGTCATCTCATCTATTAGCTTGTATGCATCATATGAATCTTTTCTTATGAGGGACCCTCCTGCTATGGCATCAATTGCAGCCCTGGTGGTGATTGATAGGCCACTGTAAAAGATTTGCACCTGTCTCCATGTCGAGAAATCATAATGAGGACATCTCCTCAAAAGTTATCGAAACCACTCCCATGTCTCGAATAAGGATTCTGCTTCATGTTGTTAGAAGCAACATATCTCTGTCATAAGCTTAGAGGACCTTGATAGGGGAAAGTACTTTCCTAAGAATTATTGAGTGAGATCCTCTCAAGTTGTGATAGAATTGGTTGGGAGTGAGGAAAACTATGCATTCACCTTTTCAGATACTGAGAAGGGGAAAAGGCGGAGTCGACTAGCATCATTAGAGACTCCATTGTACTTGATGGTGTTTGTCAATCGAAGGAACTTTGTCAGATGTAGATTGGGATCTTCGTTCAACATGTCCTCAAACTGTATGGAGTTCTGGATCATGGTTATAAGTGCTGGTTTAAGTTCAAAGTTGTTTGCCTCCACACTAGGGGCCGCAATGATTCTAGGGGTGCCTCTAGTAGTAGGTGTCATATAATCTTGGATTGATCTTCTTCCCTCTGCCATTCTTTGCTCTCCTACTTCCTTTCTTTGTCTACGGACTGTTCTTTCAATCTCCAGATCAAATAAACAAGCTGTAGAGTACTTAGAACGAGTGAGCATACACTAGAAGGAATTATGAAATAAAGTAAAAAATTAAAAATAAAATAAAAACAAAAATTATGAAATAAAAAAATTTAACAATAAACCAAAAAAATAAAGCAAAGTAAAACACAAATTGCTCAAATCAATTAAATTTGAGATTTTCTTAATATTGAAAAAGCAATCTCCAGCAACGGCGCCAACTTGTTCGGAGGGCAAGTGTACCCATCGAGAAGTAATAAAGGGTTATTAAATTAAGTTCTCAAAATATTGTCCCACAAGGATTGAATTTTAATTACTAAGAATTTCCTAATTCAATTGTTTAAGTTTTAAATATACAAAATTAATGAAAGCAAGAATTTATAAAATTAATTATAAAATTAAGAGCAATGAATACAATGCATGTCTTGGTCAAACTTATCGGAGAAGAATCTAGCGCATGAGTTTTCTCATTCAATCCTTTATGTTATTTTTCTGTTTAACTCTAAATTCGATTTCCTTGTGGTTACCAATCATTCATACGAATACTATTAATACCCAATGGTCATACAATATTAATATTCTTTTCTTTAAATTAACATCCCCAATGGTCATGCAAGACATTAATTTAAGAAAGCTTAAGGAACCTATGAACTTGTTAATTTAATAACGATTAGAAGAGAAAGATTGGTTTGGTCAACCTAATCCTTTGTCATGTTTTATCCTATAGATATATTAATTAACCGAGATACAGTCGCCTAACGATATAATTAATTATGATTAAGAGAGAAGTGCAATAGGATAAAACCTAATCATGAAACGGAAATCAAATTTAGATTCAAACGTCAAAACCCCATAAATTCATGAATAATAGTTCCCAGAGCCCTAGCTATAGACTTAGTTACTCGTGCTAAAGAAAAGAACTAAAACAATCATAAACAAAGCTATAATTAAAAGAAATAGCAAACTAGAGTGCGAGATGTGTTCCCGGTCTTCAAGTACGATCGTTCAAAGCTCTAAGTCCCGCCAAGAGTGTGCTAAAGATCCCATGCAAGAGAGAAGAGATCAGATGTATCCTAAAGCAAAATCTAAGTTAAAAAATGGTGCTTGTACGATGCCTGAGGTCTCCCTTTTAATAGGGTTTGAAAACCCTAAAGACTCTTCATAATTGGGCTTCTCGCAGATGAGTACGGCCATGCAAGGTCTTAAGCACGACCGTGCATGGGCTCGAAGCACCATCGTGCTTATTGACAGGGTCTGGGTGTGCTGACTGCTGCAAAGCTCTAATCTTCATCAATTTGGCCCCACAATGCCCCTAAAATCTACTTGCGACCTCTTTATACCAAACTGCACAAGTAATATATAAATTAGTGTAAAACCCAAATAAAAATAAAGGTCAAATATGAATATATGGGCTGTAAAAGAGGGTCTAATTACAGAGTTATCAGTAGTGTGCATGATCTTGCATAACTTACTTATTGAACCTTTGAACGTTTGATAATTTGAAAAAAAAAATATCTTTAAAGGTTCAATAACTCATTTCCTTAGTGGATCATTGGTCTTTAAGAAATCATTCAATTAAAAAAAAAAACTTTGCTTGATTAGTCTTTAAGTAATCATTCGAAAAAAAAACTTTTCTTTAAAAACCTATGACCCACTAGATTCATTCCATAAAAAAAAAAAATAGAATTTTGTGAATTATTAACCCTTTAATGAAGCTTTGCTAAGTTAAGGTGCCAATAATTCATGAAATTTTGTTTTCTTTTCCTTATTCCTATGACTAACAATGGCTTCTCTTACTCTTCAAAGTGCAGGTCGGTCAGACTACCTGGTCTAGTGGAACTTAGGACCAGTGGAAATGAACACAAAGTTAGGAAACAATGAGAAGAAGATGAGTGAATTAAAAAAGAAAATAAGTCTTCGATAAAAAAAGTTAGACTTAGCTAGCCTTCATTGTTTGAGTCAAAAGATGGACATGCAGCAACAGTTAGCTTTTAAGAAGTACTAGGGATTGTTGAAACTTCTAGAAGTGGATGTTCAGATAGAAGCAGTCACACATTTACTTAGTACTATGACTTAGAACTTTGTTGTTTTACCTTCTTTGACTTTTAGCTTGGACCTACCATAGAGGAATATGAGCAAATTCTAGAATTACCCTTGGAGGGGAAAACACCCTATAGACACTTAGGGCACTCTGTCTCTATTCAGGCCACAGCCAAGTTGCTAGCACTGGATCCAAAACTATGATACGGGATTAGGGAGCACATCATAATATGATACGGAGAAGGGACATGTGGCACACGATCCTATTGATGCGATAACCGAATTTGACAAGCTAAGACGCAACACTCGTGAGAAGCACAAAACGTGGAAAGTGTAGACTAATGTAGAGGAAAAAAATGAGAATATATAATGATGACAGAAAATAAAAGTTGTGTGGTATATTTTTCTTGAATATTCTCCTCTGTCTATTTCCTTCTCTGTACATGGTCAATCTCATGTCATGAGCTTGAATCACCCTTTTCTTTCCCTTCTCTTTCTGTTACCAATATTATACTTTCTGTTACTATTTATGGTTTTATTAATATTTTGAGAGGTATTTTCCATCATTTATGCCTATTACTATTATATTGCTAAGAATTACATCAATTGGTGCTTTTGTTGTCCTCTCATGGCTGAAAATACCCGTTTGAAAGAGTTGGCAGCAAATATTCACAAACTTTAAGACGTTATGGTGTTGCAGGCTACTCAAGGCTCAGATCACATTTCTCAATTGGAGCATCAAATTGACGCTTTCATGAAATCAAATGATCCCAACCGTATGGATCATTTGGAGTCGTCTATGGATATTCTTACTCGATCGGTGGATGCAATTTCTCGTTATTTGGAGTGAGTTATTTGTACTAATTCTCCATTGAATGTTACGGGTAATACCCTTCCTCTTTGTTCTATGAAACTAAACTTTCCTAAATTTGATGGTACTAAACCATTGAATTGGTTATTTTGTGCGAAATTTTTTTTTGCCCTATATCAAGCTCCAGAGCCTCAACGGTTATTAATTGCGGCCATTCATATAGAGAGGGATGCTAGACCTTGGTTTCAAATGCTTCAACATTCTAATCTCCTTCTAGATTGGCAAGCCCTCACTCAGGCAATGGAAGCTCATTTTGGGCCTCTCCCTTTTGATTCACTTCGTGCAGCTTTGCTTAAGTTAGTTCAAATCGACTCTATTCACCAATACTATCATCAGTTCTCTACTCTTGCTAATCGTGTGGAAGGCCTCCTAGATGCAACCCTTTTAGACAATTTTATTAGTGGGCTTAAAATCGATATTAAATGTGGAGTCCTCGTCCAGGCACCATCGTCTTTGATTCAGGCTGTGGCCCTTGCAAAGTTTTATGAGGCGAAGGTATCTGCTGTGACCCACACCTCAAAGACATGTTATCCCACTTCGGCCCAATACCAACCTAGGTAGCCTAACTCAATTTCGAATGTATCCTCGTCATCTCTTCCAAGTCTGTTACCAACACCTACAACACCAACCCTTCCTACTACACACCCTAAGGTTGCCGTGAAACGAATGTCACCAGTTGAGATGCAACTTCGCCGTGAACTTGGACTATGTTATACATGCATCAGACTTAGGATTTCAAGAGGCAATTCTTAGAAGAGCATTTATATGGCCTGGCAAAAGATAGGAAGGTGGGGCAGCTTTGCAGATGTTTTATCCTTCACCATATATGGCATCATACTTTTTCCATATGTTGATGCTTTGGTCGATACACTTGCCATGGGTGTGTTTTTTGCCTATAAGAATCACGTGGAGTCACCTGTTACAACATTGGTAGTTGACCATTATACTATTATGCATACTTGTCATACAAGGAAAGGTAATAGGCTTCGGTGTTGCTTGCCTTTGTTCTATGTAAGAATACTCAGTGGTTTAGATAGCGGGAAGATAAGGTGGCAGCCATCCTAGCAGCAGAAGACAAAGTTGATATACTATTGTAGGGATACTCAAATGTCCCTCTCATTGGTACAGGGGCAGTCATCAACTACAATCCTATTCTCCTCCAAAGGCAGTTTTCATATCCTATTAGAGGGTAATCATTGGAACATGCCTTGATCGAGGTGACTCACTTCTTTGATGGAGAAATTAAAGAAGCAAGTAGGCTAGTTGGAACATAATATTGAAAAGATGCAGAGAATTTTGCTCCAATATCACCATGATAATTCAGCTCTGAAGAAGGACATGAGAAGGAGTGCAAAAAAGCCCATTTAGAGTTAAGTGATGAAAGAGAGTTTTGATGCAAGATCCAGAGTTGTCTCGCAGCAGCCAACGCTGAGTTGGGCCTAAGAGCTGAAGAGAAAAGTGAGCTGATAGAGCAAAGAGATGAGAATTAAGTCCGCCTCTACAAAGTGAGAGGAGAAAAGCAAGCAGTTGAGGAACAGTTGGTGATAATACATACCCAATTTCATCACTTATGTCAAAAGGTAAAGGTGATTAAGGCGAAATGCAAAGACAACATCAAGAGAGAAAAAGATGAGGCGGTCAAAGTAGTAGA